CGTCATAGCGTTTGCTGCTACCCAAAAGGGTAATGGCCACTAGATAGTCGCCTCCTCTACTCGAATGCAACAGTTACCCGGGGTTACACTCACAGCGCTTCTCAACACACTCCAGTCCTTGTCTTTTAACTACAATCACTTCTTGCTTTCGTTACACAACACCACCTCCTTCCTGCGCGATATTCGCGATGCAGAGCGATCTCGCATGCGCAGCCTTGCCCTGCGATAACGCAATGTCCGAAATGTAAGCACAGCGCCCTCAATTGCACGCGCACAAAAGCTGAAACTCCGGCTAGTACGCTCAGAAACCAGCTCAACTCACCTCTTCTTCGCCTGCCCGCCGAGATCCGCAACAAGATCTACGCCTTCGTCTCGCTTTCCACAACCATCAAAGTGACAGAAGCCTCCGAGAGCAGCCTTTTAAAATGCATCCTCTGCTTGAGAGCCCCAGATCTTGTTAGAAGTTGCCAGCAGATACAGCACGAAGCCACAACCTTGCTCTACAGCCTAGCTACTTTCGACGTCACCAACCACAGTGTCGCCTTCCTGCTAGGAAGAGTATTCAATCGCAACATCTGTAGTCTCATTACCTCAATCAGGATGTCTGGTAACTTGGCTTGTTCCGTAATGTCCAAGTCCGATTCCGTACCACGTTCTTGGAGAGATAAAAGGACACCAGCAGGATGCCTGCCAAGTCTGAAGAGCGTGTATGTACAGAAGATATACTGTGAATGGAAGAACATGAAAGATCCAGCAGCTCTGAGGAAGTGGTTTGGAGATGAATCACTCGAGATTATCTTTGAGGAGTATGCTGGCTGAGAAAGTGGCCGCACACAGTCTACGAAAAGATTGTGTTGATTAAGACGTCGATAGTAGTTAAAAATGCATCTTGCACAATGAGACTTTGTTTCAATTCCATGTACCGTTGATAGACCGTGTACCCATTCGCTGCGAAACCGTAGGCCACGAGATTGAAGCACCCAGCAGTCCTTCTCGAGCAACTCAAGGGCCTCAAGGCCTAGTGAGTGACCTTAGAGGCTAATGGGCCTGATTAGATACAATATCCAGGTAGATAGTCTATTTCCGCACTAGCGCCTTCCGAGATAGCGCAGTAAACACTGCCTTCACTTCTCAATCAATCTATCTCCCTCCGCCCACCACCCACAACCAGAAGCGCCGCTGCTCGCCGCGACCCTGCGACATGGAGGCCAACGCTTCCTCCGCGGCCTTTCTGGGCAAAGAGACTGAAGCAAACATGTAAGCTCGCTGTCTCCCGCTCAGTCGCACGTACTAACATCCGAGTCAAGCACTCTCAGAAACCAGCTCGAGTCTCCGCTTCTCCGCCTCCCAGCCGAACTGCGGAACAAGATCTACGCCTACGTAGGCGCCGCCACAGTCATACCAGTCGTCACACGCTCCCTGACACCAACCAACGCGGAGGAATATACCAAACTACTCAAGTACCTGCAACCCGACCTCCTCAACACCTGCAAGCAAGTCCGCCAAGAAGGCTCTTCCCTCCTCTACAAACATGCTCTTTTTGACTTGTCCAAATGTAGCTACCTAGCGGTTCTGTTCCACCGTTGCGACGACAATTGCTGCGAGCGTATGACCTTTGTCAAAGTTGATCGGAGACTTGTAGAATATGCGGCTCGAAACCTTCTTGACAAAGACGGCGGTTGGTCTAATGAGCACGAGGGTACCATCAGCGTACTGCCGAATGTGGAGACAATTCGTATCGAAGCGGATCCTATCAGGTTATGGTTCAAGGATAGTTGTATCAGAACGGTACTGAGAGGCTGGTGTAAGAACCATACAGCTGAGATTGTCTTCGAAGACATCCATAAAAGTGTTCGTTGGGACGGCTATTGGGACCACCATCAGAACCTAATTGCCAAACATGGAGTTAATAGGACGGGATAATGTCTGGCTTAGGCCGTCCTCGTGTCCTCTTCTCGGCCGGCTATGAGCAGAATTTTTCTTGCGTATCACGATTGGGGTAGTACCAGGCTTCCAAACGCTGGGGCGACTTCTCAGTAGCAGCATAGCTATAGAAACAGTGATAAATGGAGACTACACTGAATCGATTCGATCAAGGTATCTTGGATGACCAATCAGCCTACAACACCATGCTTCTTCGACTTCTTCCAGCCGGCAAAGCCTTGATGAGTATCCTTTGATTTCCCCTCTTCCTCTTTCTCTCCCAATATCCCAATACCAGTCATGTTCCTATATCATTGCCGCAGCCAGAAGACCTAATGATTCTCTTTGAACGCCCAGTAGGGCACGCCGAGACTCTTTATTACACAAGAAGGAGTATATCGATCTACAAGTACCGTGAATACTGACTCTCTGGCCCCCCACATAAGGCTGCCCACTGTCACGTGATTTCTCAATGAGTACATAGTCTTTTCTTCCGTACTAGTTAGTCGATAGTCATTACAATCCAACCCAATATTCCTCGACATCTCGCACCCACCACCCACCTCAACATACACAATATCCTCTACTTACTCAACATGGAGACCAAAATGTCACTGACCCCTCAACCAGACAGCGTCATGTCTAAGATGTACGTCAACCGCCATTCCCCGCACTTCCCACTAACAACCTTCCCAGTACATCCGCCAACCAAATAAACTCTCCACTCCTTCGTCTGCCCGCTGAGCTGCGAAACGAGATCTACACCTACGTCGGCCTCTCTACTATCATTAAAGCCATTCAACCTGCAGGGTCTCTCACATGCAGCTTCCAGGTTCCAGAACAACTCAAGGCGTGCAAGCAAATCCGTCACGAAGCCACCTCGATAGTATACAGATCAGCTCTCTTCGATTTTACTCAGTGTAACACGGGTGCCTGGCTGAACGGCAGCTGTGACCACGGAATCGGCGAGTTCGTTACCTCGATTACGATTGGGGGTCGTGTGGCATGCCTCGTTTCCCACTATATTGGAAAAGGTAGGGGCTATGAAGGACTGCAATTTCCGACCAAATGGCTGCCGAACGTGCAGAAAATTTACATCAAGTATGACGCATGTATGCAACAGTGGGGATTTACTACAGGGACAGCACTGGAGGTGTTGTGCAAGAAGAATACCATGCAAATCATCTTTGTGTGACTGAGAGAATGGGCGGTGGGCAGGAAGAGGGTAGTTTGTACGTCACAAGAACTGGCTAGTCAAAAGAGAAGCGGATTGCAGTATCAGTCCTTGGCTAGGCAGCTAGCACATTGCAGATAAATCGATCTCGGAAGCACTCACTTCAGACTACCTACTTAGTTCCGTCAATCGCCCACTAGCCAAAATCATTATACTCTACTTCTCCGTCTGTCGAAAGAATGGAAACTTCTTCTAGTGCCGTTGTATCCTCCACCGCCATGTCCCAAATGTAAGTCCCCCGCCGTCCACTCAACACCACCCACTAACGGACGCGCCTAGTACTCTCACCAACCAACAAACATCACCCCTTCTTCGTCTCCCTGCCGAGCTGCGGAACCTGGTCTACACCTACATAGGTCTCGCGACTATCATCCGACCTTGCAGATTGAAACCTTCAAACACCGCCAAAAGCGCCCCCATCAAGTACAACCTCCAATTTCCAGGCCTCCTCTCAGCCTCTCAGCAAATCCGGCATGAAGCCACCCCCCTCATATACGCGCACGCCCTCTTCGATTTCGACGTGTTTGACTTATGCTCGTGGCCACCAATTAGCACCTGCAACCACGAGATCAGCGATTTCATCACCTCGATTAGGATTTCGAGGTGTCTTGCGATCGAGATCACACTCGAGATCAGAAATGCTAGAGACCTCGGAGATCTCAAGTTTTCGAACTACCGGCTTCCAAATCTGAAGAAGGTGTATGTTGGGCCTTGCGAAACGAGGCGGCCGTGGGAAGATAGTGTGAGGAGGGCGCTGAAGGTTTGGTGTGAGAAGGTGGATCTGGAGGTTAGTTTTGGGGTGGAGGGTTTGTGAGATGGGTGGTGGGCAGGGGAAGAGAAATTTTAATCGTCACGAGGACTGATTAGTTAAGGAAAAGGCGAATTAAAGTAGTCGGTGTTGGCTAAGAGGTACATTGCACAATAGATGGATCGCTCTCTTCGAGTTCGCTACTGAGTTTCGTCAACCGCAATCTCCCACAGGCGCAAGTGTGCAGATCTCTACCAAGTCGTCGCCATCCCCCCAAGATCTCTGTACTCAACCACCAAATCCTCCTTTCCGAACCAATCCCTCAGCGCAAATCTGACGCTCTCCCTTCCCCACTTCGATGCCCACATCACCTCCACCCTCTCCAAATTCGGCAGCGGGCACACAGCACACCTGCCTCTGTTCTCAATAGCCTCTCCTAAGAGTTGGGTCGAAACCACCCAGGAAATCTGCAACGTAGTACAAAACTTTGCCCCAACGCAACGCGTGGTCCAGGAGAAGTCGCCGCCACGGGTAATGTCGAATGTAGCGTTTGCGTAGATGAGAGCGGTGGCTTCGCTGCGTATCTGTTTACACGTGCGCAGGAATGGGGGGATGGTGTAGAAGAATGGGTGGTGTTTGGATGGCCTTTGCATGTTGAGGACTTGTATTTTGGTTGATAGACCGATGAAGGTGTAGATTTCGTTGCGGAGTTCTGCGGGGAGAAGGAGGAATGGGGATGTGGGATGGGATCTAGGTGGCTAATTAGTGCAAGTTAATGGATATATAACGGGGTGCGTACATCGTGGACATCGCGCTGTTGGTTTCGAGAGCTGCAGGTGTGGTCGTGGTTGTGGCTGTAGTCTCCCTGGTGGGTAAGTAGTGGATGCTGGGTTTGTTCATTTTGAACAGTGGGTGGTATAACGGCAAGTACGCTAGCCGCACCATCACCTGGGCAGTTCCAAGGTTCTCTAAATGCACTAGTCTGGATTAGGCGAATCATGGTGAACTGTTTATTCTCGTCAAGTCCTCTCTCTTGTTTAGGTAACTACCCACTAGCCGAGACCAACACACCCTACATTCTCCACCCCACACATAATGGAACGTCCATCTTCTACAGCCGTTGAAGTCGCCACTGCCATGTCCGAAACGTATGTCTCCGCGACCTGCGCCGTCACTAAACACTATTATCTACCTACTAACGCACACACCTCCTAGCACTCCTACCAACACCCTCACATCTCCTCTCCTCCGCCTCCCCGCTGAGTTGCGCAACAAGGTCTACACCTATGTAGGCCACTCTGAACAGATCCACATTGCCGCGACCATTACCAATTCAAACCCTTCCAAATTCACTATGCAATTCCACCTCCCAGGTCTCCTCTCCACTTGCCAACAGACCCGCTCCGAAGCTACCGCACTCGTATACGCCCAAATCACCATCGACACCATCCCTGGAGACGCATGGTACTGGCTATACTCGAAACGCTCACACAGCCTCTGCGCCCACGTAACTTGCTTACACATCAGCGAATGGTTTGCCAACCTCATAGAGCGAGAAGTTGATAAGCGCTTGAAAGACTCGCAAGATGCCAAATGCTGTACCTTGGACTTGCCACGTTTGGAGAGGGTGCGTGTTATTTGTAGGGGCTGGAATGTGGACTTCTGGTGTGAGTATTCGAGGAAAGCGATAAGAAAATGGTTTGGGAAAGAGTCTCTGGTCATCGTATTCGAGACGGGCGTGGATACTCGGTCTAATCCCCCTGATTCGCTCTTGGAAAAACGTGAGATGTTTAGGGATTACTCGCGGTCGATATAGAAACTTGAGTGAATGGAGACTCGGGTACAAGAGAGGGTATGAGTGGGGACTGGGAAAGTAAAAGTCTGTGAGTTGGTTGATGATATACTCAGTGCCACGCGTCTGGCTTTTCGAGTGTCGAATTAGGATATTTCGTTAGGAAAATGTGTCATCTCTTTCTACACTATGAAGAGGATATGAACATCTCTTAAAGCTTGGTACAAAATCTCAACCGCACTACAACTACCCCCGCAACCCCGTAAGCTAACAGCGTGATGTCTGTCATGTACGCTCTCCGTCATACACCGATTAACTTACACTTACTACCCACCTGTTCCGTGCCCGCTGCCGAACTTGGAGAGAGTGGAGGTAGCGTGGCCGAACGCAGGTGAGGAGGAAGCGGCGGCCCTGAGGGAGTGGTTCATGAAGGAGGATTTAGTCGTTGAGTTCATTTCGCTCTGGGGTTAGGCGGGGGTTAAAGGGGTAGACAGGAAATGGTTCTTGAGGACTTGAAAAGGATGGGGATATCTGTTGAAGATTGGTATATAACGTCGGACACGCTAGTAATATCACAGCCCTGCTTGTGCTCTTCCCGCCTCACACCATACCTCCGTATACTCATTCGAAAAAGTATTCACAACCCAACTACAACCCAAACTGCCCCTCCACCTCCCTCCTCTTCTGCTCCCTCTCCATCTCCTGTCTAATCCTCTCCACCTCCTCCGTCATGCCCTTCTCGCCCTTCTTTTTCTGCCTCTCCTCATACAACGCCCGTCCCTTCATAATCCTTGCTACAATCTCCGCGGCGTTTACGTTTTGGAAGTCGTGGTTAGCGATTTCGCGGTATATGTTGAGGGCCTTGGGGACGGCGTAGGGGTCGAAGGCGAGGGGCATGAAGGTGGTTTTGCCGTGGTAGACGGTCAGGGGTTGGGCGTAGGGGAGCGTGTGGAGGAAGGCTTTGGAGAGGGAGAAGGGGGCGCCGAAGATGGCGGCGTGGACGTACTAAACATCAGACGTTAGTTCCTGTGTTAAGTGAAGGTCAGGAGGGGACGTACTTTGCACTGCAGGACGCAGAGGCCGCGCTCGAAGATGTTCATGATGGGGTAGTTGATGCCTTTCCAGTGGTTGATGACTTCGTCGTCGTGGATGCCGGCGATGAGGAAGATGGGGCCGTAGTCTTCGCCGGACCTTTCTATGCGCGCTGCCTTTGCTTCGTCGGTGTACCAGCCGCCCTCCTTGGCGCTTTCCTCTTCGGACTGTGTGACGAGGCGGAGGAACTCGATGTGACCCGAGGAGAACAGATCCCAGCCTCCGTCGACATAGATGACCTTTTGGCCGGGCTTGACGCCCTTGCCCTTGACCAACTCGTGGAATTTGCCCTTTTCTTCCTTGACGGGTCCGAGTGCTGAGGCGGTCGAGGCCTGGCGGACGGTGCCGGGGCGCGGCGCAGTGGGTGAGGTAGGCGAGGTTACGGTGTTGCTGGTGGTTGTCCTCCGTAGCTTGACAGGTCGCGAAGCATGCCAGTACCACACGTCGCACCCGGGCGCGCGGCCTGAAGCATCGGTCGCGTAGTCCTTGATGCGCTGGAGCATCTCCTCTCCTGTCTTTAACCGCTCCTTCTCATCGCCCGGGCCCTCGTCTCCGGACAGCCTCTTCTCCAGCGATGGTATAAAGTGCGACTTGGTGCACAACAGCATGCGGCCCACGAGGTCGGTGGTCGAGATGCCGGGTGTGCGCTTAACCACCTTGAACCTTCCGGCTGCCTTGACGTAGCGGTAGCAGTCCTTTCCGTCGCTGTCGGAGGTGATGTCATCGCCGTGGACGACGTACTGGCAGCCGTAGTGGGTGATCCAGGGCAGCGAGGTTACGTAGGGCGCCCTCGGGACGGCTTTGGTAGCCCATCGGCAGGCTTCGACGGCGGCGACACTGAAATCATTAGTCAAGGAAGTTGATAGGTAAAGGTAGTGATGGCGCGCACCGTTCGTCGAGGCGCATCACCGTGGGGCCCTTGTTCTCCATAATGGACTCATCCGAGTGCACACCGACGAACAGCTCGTTGCCCAGCTGGCGCGCCTGCAGCATGGCGCCAGCATGGCCTGGTTCCTGTAAGCGCTGAACATCTCGAATGTGGCAGTCGGCATACCGTGGTGAGCAAAGTCGAAACAGCCATCGACCCATATGCGCTGCTCCGAAACCTCGACGTCTTCCTGAGGATCCACGGGCCACTGTCCCTCTGAGGGAATCCACTCTCCCTGTGTTTCGTCAGTTGTTTGCGCAGCCTGGGCGTGGGCGGGTGGTGCGTACTCGTGCGCTCTGTCTGCGCTGCATCGTGACGTGGGGTAGTTGGCGGGGCTGGCAGCAACAGTACTCGGACAACAGCACAGGCTGGTAGCAATAGTATGGCAGAGAGTCGGACGGTGTCGAGTCTGAACCGTGGGACTGGAAAGCTTGGAAGCTTGGAGCTTGGAAGCAGCACCTGCCACTCTGGATTCAGCCTAACGTGCTGATAGCCGCACGTGGGCAAATGGCATAGTCAGTGAAGCTATGGCAATGTAGGGCGACAGGGGCAGAGGCGGTGGGCAGGGATGGGCCTCGGGCGGCTTGTTCCTGCGTCGGGATAGGTTCTCACGGTATCAGCTGTAGCCGCGAATCGAAACACGTTTTCGTTTTGCGCGCCAGTATCTGCCTTATAGCGTGCAGTCCCGTCTGCGTGTCTCCTCACCTAAATTCTAACGAAGACACCGTAGTATATTTACAAGTAGGTATAGCAATGCGGCAATGTTATCAGGGTCCGTGGTGAAACAGCCCCTGATCGCTCGGTAGCCCCACCCGTCTGGAAAGCACATGGGCTACCAGCATGGCCGACAACTCCAGCCAGGGCCTCTTCTCCCGCCGCCCCTCGTTTTTCGGCGGCAAGACCAAGGGACAAGGACACAAGCAAGCAAACTCGACCCTCGCGCCGCCCCAGCTCAACATCACCCCCGCGGCCAACCCCGGGCTAAAGACACCCCCTCTCGAGCTCGACCAATACGAGTTTCCCGCCCGGCTCGCAGCGACGCCACCACGACGCAGGCACGCCAGCAGCAGGCACAGCATCGCCTCGTCCGTCACCGATCTCGGGTCCACGCTGCGGAGGTCACGGTCCGCCTCGCTTCGCACCAACGCGTCGGCCTCGTCCTCGCATAAGAGGACCCCCTCGGCCACCCTGGCCCTCACCTACTCCCCCGAGAAGGCCCCCGTGCCCGCCAGTGTGACGAATGCCTCGCGGCCCGCCCTCTCCATATCCACCTTTTCGCGCAGCAAGCAAAAAAGCAGCGAGAACGTCAAGACCGAGGGCGGCAGTGTGCAGCAACCCCAGGCCCCGGTCTACGAGAAGAGCCCCCTCAGCGCCGTCGACAAGCCCAAGACTCCCTTCGCCAACATGGCTGTCCCCATCCCGCTGCGCCATCCGCCCTCCCAGAAAGAGATCCTCCAGGCAAACCAGCAGTCCAACCGCACCTTAGCTCCTGCCGCGCCCATCCCCGTCCCCAATGGCTCCAACCCCAACCTCGTCTTCCAGCACATCCACGAGCTCGCCTCCAAACGCATATCCACCCTCGACTACTTGAGAAAGGCGTGAGTCCTTCTATTTTCCCTCTTCTGTAACAACCCTCACTAACACCCCCCAGCCACGAAGGCCGCATCTACTGGTTCAACACGCTCCTCTTCTCCAAAACAGACCTCACGCGCCTCCCCTCCTTCACAACGCGCAACCAAGCCCGGCGCGCCACCCACTACCTGCTCCTCGGCTTCTCCCTCCCAACGATCCTCGACCTAAACGCCAACTCCCCGTCCGACTACCTCAAAGCCCTCAACGCCCTCTTGTTAGAATTCGAACAATACCAATCCATCCACCCGGCCGACGGCTCCACCCCCTCGTCCCTCTCCCGCGCCCGCCTCCCCCAGATGTTCAAGCGCGCAAACATGGGCATGGGAATGGGAATGGGCATGTCAATGGGCAGTAAAGGCCGGCGGTCCAGCAGCGCGAACGGCGATTTCCCGCTCCTCACTCCAAGCAATAGTTTCACGGGCTCTGAAACAAGCGGTGGTATGGGCGGCGGGTTTGACTCCCCGCCTACAACAGACGATTCCTTGCTCCCCAATGAGAGCTACACGCATCTCCAGACTCCGAGCTTACCGTTCGACCCCGATTTCTTCAGCACGTTTGCTACGCTGTGCGATGTCTTGATTGATTGTTATACGAAGATACTTAGTATGCTTAGTACGCCTGAGAGTGTGGCGAGTGCGGGTGGTGGGGTGCCTAGTTTGGTGGGGGATCTGTTTAATAAAGCGGACGCGCGGGTGAGGAAGATTATTCTTGCGGGGGTTGTGCGCGAGTTTGAGGATAGTTGTCGGGCGGGGCTCAAGAGTGAGGTTGGGGGTGTGGGAAAGGTTGTTCTTGGGGGGCTGATGTAGGGAGATGGGGAAGATGAATGATTTATGTGGCGGGCATTATGATCTGGGCATTTTATGATATCCAACAAGGTATACGGATGGGCGTTTTCTTTTCCTCTTCTTTTTCTTCTTTTGGTTGGCTGGTTCCTTCTTGCATGGAGATGGAGTTGAGAATTTTAGAATATACGGTAGCATATGGCGTGGTATAGCATAGCATGAGAAGGCCAGATAGGGATATACGCTGGCAAGCGTAAGAACCCTCTTCTACAGCACAACGAATGTGCCTCCAACAAACTAATGCCAACACCCCACCAATATCCATTCTCACCGGATAATAACCCCATGCTCAGAGGAGGTGATGAGGGAGGATGTCACCTCCCCATCCCAAACCGTATCCGCTGATAAATCTCAGCAATGGCAACCCCCGCCTCCTAAGCAGCAGCCGCTTCGTTCTTCTCCACAAGATCCACAACACCCTTCCCCCTACCCACCTTGACCTTTGTCTTTTTCGCGGGCTTCTTTTCCTGTAGCATCCATCGTCAGTATACGCCTCATTCAAATACCAATCCCCCCAAGTTAGGATATAGCTCCGTTGGGAATAAAACGTACCTTAACCCCCTCACTCCCCACAGCATCCCCCTCATCCACGCCCTCACTCCCAAAAATCTCCTCCTCCTCATCCCTCAACTGCTCCTTCAAATCCGCCAGCTCGATCCTCATGCTATACGCATCCTCACCATCAGCATAATATTTCGCTTCGATCTTGTCGACGGTGAAACCGAGGGTTTCGCGGTAGAGGTGCAGGGCCGCGTTGTTGGAGACGCGGACGTGTAGGGAGACGTAGTGCGCGTTGAAGGTCTCGGCCATGGCGCGTTGGGATTGGCGCATTAGTTTCTCAGCTAGACCGAGGCGGCGGTGAGTGCGCATCACGGATAACGAGGTTATGTGGCCGTGTTGGACACCGTCGGTGGGTTCCTCTTCCATTTTGGCGAGGACGTAGCCGACGATTTTGGGGGGGTCGTAGGGGGTTTTGGGGGGGCGGGATACCTGGGGGGTGTTAGTAGAGTGGAAGCACATGTTGTATCATCTAGTGTTAAAGTATAGATGAACGGTCGGGTTATCACGTGTCCCACGCAACGACGCCCTTTGCCCATTCATCCTTTGACCAATCGACCAATCGCGAAGCATTGCAACCATTCATCCTCTGATCCCTCCTCTATACACCAATATCCAAGCTCTTTCTTCACTCCACTCTTTCCCAACCCCCACATAAGAAAGGCGACCCTTCATACACAATACTCATGAAACAAACTTACATCAACAGCCACATAGCTCAACTGCGGCCAACTCATCGCATGATACAAGTAATACTTGCAAAAGTAGTTCTCGGGCAAATTCGTAATATTCGCAAGCTGGACATGCGGAATGTCCGATGGGCGTAGGACGCGGATATCCATTTTCGCGGTCGCGTTGTATATTTGTGAGGTATGTGGTTCCTAGCTCTTTCTTCTGTAATACCGAGTTTGCGTTTCCTTACGTCTTTGATTGACGAGGGAGTACCAGTTGATTGGGATTGGGTTGGATTGGAATGGCACAGGTGTATTTGGAAGTCGCAGCGCTAATGCGAATGCGGATGGGGGGATGAGCGATGGGGCTGGACCTCAAGTGCTTGGAAGGCGGTTTGGTGAGGAAGAGGGCGAGTGCGTTACATAAGCAGGACTTGTGGGGTCGGGTCGGGGATTAGAAGTTAGCGCGGGGCTAAACGCCGACGCGACTTTCCTCATTCCTCAGGAAGCTCAAGAACCTCATATCTCAACATGACATTAAGCCATCAAGCTCCAAGCTCAATTACGATCATCCATCATACGCTAGGCTCCCATCCCGTCCAAACCATCAAACAGCCCCCACCCCATCCTCACCCACGCGCCTACCCACAACGTGCAGACCCGGCAGCCCAAACGCATCCCTCACCTTCTCTCTTGCCTGAGTGTCCGTCAAGTTAACTTTTAGACGCCAGACTTCTATCTCCAACAGCTTTAGTGAAGCAAACCATTCCTTCAGATAGGCACCCTTCATTTCATCCTGTCCCTCGATGATAGCCCTTCCATTCCCCTGCGTCAGCCACAAACGTTCTATCTTCCCAAAGCCTGCTGCCGGTAGATTTGACGACGCAAAGAATCTGAGCGCGAAGTAGCTAGGGACGAAGGTGCACAGGGTGAAGGATGAGGCGCTGGCTTCGATGTAGATCTGGCGGCATGTGTAGAGGATGGCGCGGACGCTGGGGTAGCGGCCGAGCACGTCTTTTTTGATGAGTAGCTTGTTGATGTTGATGGTGGTGTTTAGGAAGACGAAGGTGTAGATCTTGTTGCGGAGTTCGGCGGGGAGGAGGAGGAGATGTGAGTCTGTCTGGTTTCTCTTGGTGCTGCGAGGTATTAGACACAAAGTCTGCGCTTGTTGCGCGGCACGCTTACATCTCATCTCTATTGTATGCCAGTGGAACTACAACACGCTTGTCGTTGCTTTGTACGTCGTGGTCGTTGTTGAAAACGTCGTCGACGTCGCGGAGGTCTTTGTCGCGGTCGTCTTTTTGGTTGGCGGGTAAGACGCGAGGTTTCATGGAGCCTAGGTCGGAGAGGCGAAGCATCGTCAAGGTGTGGGCAACGCGATGCCGGTTTTGTGTTTCAAGGTTGGGTATGAGATCGAGATAGCAGGTGGTTGGTTGGGGAGCTGTCAGTCAATGCCGGCCGCGACGCTAGTACAGGGTCTGCATGAGGACAAACGGTGATGGTGACTGCGATTTGGCGCTAACTACATGAGGCTGCATCTCGAGGACGAAGTGACGTCCTCGCGACCCGAGACTGCCTGAAGACACGAGTGATCTTCTTGTCTAATACCAAATCTACCACCACTCCTATCTACTCGACATCGATCACACGGACAAACATATACTTTCGGAACAAACGTAGCCTTCTCACATCCCCATTTCTTCCCCATCATCCCAGCAAGCCTCTGTAGTGTTTGCGTGTTTCCCTTGCGATAATATTCATGATATCCAGCAGACACCCTCACGTAAACGTACTCCAGCCGTGGAAGCTTATACCGCCCCTCGTATTGCTCGAGCAATTCAAGCGTAGAGAATAGCATGGCAATCGACGTGATGAGTTCCCGCTTTTCACGCCCAATGTGTCCCAGGAAACGATGAAAGTCATATCGCGCATAATTGAAGCCGAAGGTTGTGTAGGAGAAGAAGAGAGACTCGGCTTCAGACCGGGTCTGACGACATGTTCGAAGGAGTGAGACGGTGGGGGACATGGGCCCGCCCGAGTTTATTCGAAAGTGTATTGAGGCAGTCCGCGGGTTCAGCAGTGGTTCAATGGAAGAGTCGGCGAGAGCGTAGCCGTAAATTTTGTTGCGCAACTCGCCTGGGAGGCGCAGCAATGATGAGTTCTTGGCATTGGCTTCTGTGCTGTGCATGTCAGCGGGTCGAGTGAACATTTGCAGCGACAGTTCCAGAGACAGAACTTACATGAGGTCGTGCTTGTCGACAGCCTCCTCGGGGATGGAAGGCAGAGTTGCGACGTAATTCATCCTGTGTCCGTCCATTTGAGTTTGGGGATTTCTCTAGTGGAAATCGGTTGATGGCTGGTTGGTCGCACTGAATCGCAATGGCAGCTGGAACTAATGGGCGATGGATATATGGGTCGAGCTGTGAATGTTAGGACTCCAGCGAGTCATTGCTTACCCGCTCAAAACCAAGACCGCAGTCGTGAACGCTTATTCTAACCGAGTCAGCTCACGATTTGCTCCCTTTCACTAGACAGCACCCTCGCATATCAAGATACAAGCCATAACTTTCGTATATATCCAAACAGCTTCGAACCAAAATATATGCACGTGAACAAATATGTTACCAAATCGTGCATCCAACCCCATATTTCCCTTCGTAAATGCAAAAGACATAATCTCAAAAACGCCAACGAGATGCCCTTGTTGCTTATACTCCGTTGCCAAATGCGTAGTTTGAGTTTTTAGAAACCTTTTTCTTGGCTGAGAATCTCATCAACCATGGGTTTCACAGTAGGCATGTAGCCTTGCATAACCGGGCACCAGAGCGCCTTCTTCAGCCCCAGTTCTGTGGCCATGTAGTACATCAGCCGGTTTATCCATTCTCGTCTTGCTGCAATGTCTATTCTCCTAGGCTCGACTCCGTGGTCCAGTGGAGGTAGGTCTAGCGGGTGATCGTATGGGTGCGCAGGGTTGGGGTCGAAGATGTGATTCTTTTTCGCGTTTTGGTCCAAGAGCGGGGTGTTCGATGGCGGACTCGCGCCAGGAGATTGGCCGGTTTCCGACTTGGTCCGAATGTTGCGGAGTTCGGAAAATGCCGGTGCTGCCTCGTAGGATTCCAGGGCCGTCGACGGCTCGCTCGAGGAAGACGCGTTGGAAGTAGATGTAGCCAGATGTGGTTGCGAGTAAACTGGCGGTGGTGTTGGCAGATGAGTAGCGCTGTGCGGACGCTTGCCTGCATTGCTATCCGGCACAAGACCTGAGCTGAGTACTGAATCCATCGTACCCAGGGGCCATATGCAGATATAGCCCCGCATACCACATATGTCGGTGGCAGATTTGGTATCTATCGGTACAGTAAAGCTGCCAAGTATGGAAGAACAGTTCTTCTCGATGACCTCGACTAGGCGGGCGGTAGCGACCGAGTGATGCATGCGGAGATTTGCATTACTCAGAGCAGTAGGCATAGACTGACCCGGGGCTTCTTGAGGACGGAAAGATAGGCAAGGGTCCCGGAACCTCAACATCCAATTCAACATCTCGAGCAGATCACGTAGAACAAGTATGCGGCTCGTACGGTAGAAGCCCCAGATCCAGACGCGTTTCAAGCTCGGGTAGATGTGAATCTCTTCCGGTGCGCCCGGACAACCCAAAAAGAGCTTTTGTAACTTGGCATCGTAGGTCGATCGAGCCTCCGGTGTGTTGGGTGTCATGTGATAGTTCCATGCCGGTGTGACGTTTGCCTCCCAAGCTTCGTAGTCGCTTTCAAGTTCGAGCGCGCTCTGTAGAAGCTCTTGCAAGGCCATGCGGTTGGTTGGTGGGTTTGGACTTTGCTTGGTTTCGTGCCATCTGGCATGTAGCATTGCCGCTCGCCATATTAGACGAATGACAAAGGCGTTGGAGTTCTTGTATAGACTTGGAAGTAATTCGTCTACTTTGACCACATCTCTCGTAGGTATTTGCGGGCGTCTTGCTGCCTGTAAGTTGCCTAATAGCTGTCGCAAGGTTAGCCATCAGCGGAAAAAAGGTGTTCATCTGTGACGGCGATTACCAGATGCGCATAGATGACTTCGTAAAGTCTGGCTGATATGATGTCGCTGTAGAACTCCTCAACCGTCCGCAATTGAAGCATAGCATTTGCGCCTTGGTTGTGAGCCAAAAAGGTGCCTTTCCGCTGCACGCTGGTAAGATTCTGTTCATCGCGTTAGATTTTGTGCATACCAGCAAACTGTAACAAACGAACGTACCTCGTAGATGCCCATCAGATGCACCGAGCAAAGTGCAGTATTCGTGGCTGCCTGCTTCTTGTCCGCAATTGCCTTTGTCAACATCGGCAAGGCCCTCCCTACGCATTCCTCACCTAGTGCTTGCGCATGAGAATCATTGTATCTATTGGCGAAGTTGACGTAAGATACTGCGTCAACCGCTGTCGCGATCAATGAGTTCTCCGGGGCGTCTTGATACAAGAGCGGGATAAATGTCCACAGGGCTTCATCTGGTTGGTCGGCTGGTCGGTTCGGCGAGTCGGGCAGCACAAAGTCGTACACAAAGCGCTCAAAAGCTCTTCTACGGAAGTCCGGATTGAGCGACGGAGTAATAGTCAGCCGGCTTAGATCGATGGTTGCGGACGCAACGCTTGATGATTCTTGAGCCGGGTCATCCACAGAGCCACCAGGAGAATGTACACTACCGCTGGAAGAGCGCGTGTCATCCAGATGAGGTGGTGTTGACTCGTCGCTTGGTGGCGTTTTGATATAGGTGTTATTATAGGTGTTGCTGTAGGCGTTGCTACTTTCGGCAACGGTAGCACGTTGGTTTGACTTTGACCGCTTCCGCCACGACTCTTCTGCTCTTTGCGCAGCCGATGCCGTTTGGTTACGAAAGAGGATGTCGGCTTGGTCTCGATACTTGCATTCATGGCCTGCCTTGCTACATCGACTGCAAGCTGGCCTACCCTCATCGCACTACTCTGGCATCAGCCTTGTCCGCATGGCGGTCGTTGCCCTGCGCGTGGTGCAACATGAAGAGCAGGGCAGTTCGCAGAATTGGACAGAAAGAGATGCGTACCTTGACTTTACGGGCTCTGCAAGCCTCGCATCCCTTACTGGGTCGGCCACGATAGGACATGCTCAAGCTCTGGAGGCGATGAGGCGGTAAGACGAAAGAGCGGCAAGCTCCGCAGTCGCTGCTGTTCAGGCTCAGGTAAGGTTCCTACGAAGCAAACACTAGCGCGGGCATCCGATTGCACAGAACAAAGAACGTCAAGTCTAATAACTATGTCTCCTCTCCGGTCCGCGAATGTGCTGCGTGGTCATCCGAAGGGTCCTGAGCCAGAAAAGGCGTAGCGGCGATCAGGCTGAAACCCAGGCCACGCTTTTACGAGCTTGGAATGGAGCGCCCGGTGACTGGCGGAAGATGGACCATAAGGGTTGAATGGCAGAGATCGAAGGGCATGGGGTCAGGCCCGGTGCTCGGGAAAACGGTGCTGCATAGTGGGTTGATGTGCCGTAGACTGCATAACTGCGTCACAAGCGACAGGCATCTCTCGTTGCTGACTCAGGACTTAGTGGTGTCTTGGCGCTCAGCGGCCTCCCGCTTGCCGACTGCGACGATGCTGCAACACCAGGCGAGGCGTTCAACTCCATGCATGTTTCGCGGCACAGCCAGATAAGATTCAGACTTCTTAGTGTCGAAATTCTTACTCTTTCTGGTGTATCTATCGCCTCATCTATCTTGGACTCCAGTATTAGTCTGCAAGGTCGATGCAGGCCGCCTACTTTCGGAGCGCCTCAAATACGCCGACCAACAACTCCCGATACGCACCCGATCATCGCGAACACGCGATGCCAATGTTTCAACGGTCGTCTAGCAGGGAAAGATGGCATGTCATTTTCAACGGCTTCAGCGTTCGGAGGCCTAAAACCATGACATCAACTTGTCATTGGGCGCTGGCAGCAATCAGTAATCGGCCCTCTTCCAACGGGCGACTAGTAAGATTGACTGGACCGCTCCGCGAATTTAAGGTTTGGAAACCACTATGAATTGCGGAGTATTCACCCAAGTCTCTTGACAGCTTGCCTCTACTATGACGCGCCAATGCGCTTGTGTCTTGAACATTGCGAAGTTTTCTCACCGGTGCCGGAAGCATAAAGGGGTAATCGCATACATTGGGAGACTTTGTTTCACGCTACCCCGAGTTTCAATTTCGTCCACATTAACATCTGACAGGTGTCCGCACCAAAACCACAGGAGTAGCGAAGTCAACACGACGCACATGCACAGACAGTAATTTTCTACGACGAGGTGCGCTCATGCTATAGCTTCGCCAACAGATGCCGACCACCATCCTCACTTCCCAAC